ACCTCTGACACACCAGTGTCTCCTGAGGTCCCACATAGGCGAGTCTGAGGGTCCCACACTGGCGCCTCTGGGGCCCCACACCAATGCCTCTGGCAGTCAGCCACCGGTAACTCTGTATGTCCTACACCGGTGACTCTGAGGGCCCCACCGGCGTCTGAGAGTACCATGTGCCGATCTCTAAGGACTCCACAGGGCTCCTGAAGATACTGCCGGCCCTCACTTGCCGGCCTGTGAAGGCCCATTGTTGGCATCATACGGCCCGTTACCGGCCTCTGAGGGCCCTTTGTCGGTCTCTGAGAGGGCCTACTGGGTTATTAAGCATTCGCATTTCGCACCAACCACTCCAAGGGCCCCACACACAGCCATCTGTGAATGGTGTGGGCTTAGCGCCATACCAGTGTCTGAGGCACCACAACGGCGTCCATGTGAGGGCCTCACACCAGCACCTTAGAGGGCCCACACCGGCTCCTTTGTGGTTCCTACACCAGTGCCTCTGAGGGCCCCACACCACTGCCTCTGGGGAACCCACATCGATACCTTTGATGGTCCCACGCCAGTACCTCTTAAAGGGACTATCCCACCTTCTAAAATGTTGTTAAAACCAGTTAAATTGTGCCCGACTTTATAGATTGGATGACCAGGAACACGGTTCTGGCATTTATTTTTCATTAAACATCTTAGGCTTCCCATATTACAAACACAAACTTTCAAATATGTGACGTCACAGCCCAAAATTACCTCCTTCCCCAGGCCACATTACTGTCATAAAGCTGATTCTTTTTACTCTGTAGGCACCACAACAAAGTTCAGACTAAGTTTTAAGCGATTTTTCAACGAACAAACCCATTTAAATCAGAATGACTAAACGAGGTGACGTCACACTAACGGTCGCTCCATGTTGAAGATAGGGCCTTGTACAAGGCCCATTTTCAAATGAAGGGAACGAATTTCTTCAACACCAAGAGGCCGCGGGGTTGCAACCTAGATAGATAGTGGTTTCTGAACCTCGCCGCAAACTTGGCTATCTCAACTCAAACCCCATGTTAAAGGTGGGATAGTCCCTTTAAGGTTCCACACCGGCGACCCTGGGTCGGCTCTTTACCTACACCAGTCATTCTGAGGGCCCCACCGGCCCCACCAATTTTCGTTAATTTCTGGCGCTGCCCGGGTGTTTGTCCCAAAAGCCTCCTCCTCCTGGATCTGCCAATGGGGGTCAGGTGTCCTACCATTTCTGTTTTTTTTTTTTAAGAAAAAAAAATTCGTGTCAGGGCTATGACGAAAAATAAGTGGCCTAAATCCGATGAGAAAACAGGATTTGGGGGTACCTTAGGTTTGGCTCCGTGACCTGGTATGCCCCCCCCCCCCGCGCTGACACCCTGGATCCGCCAGTGTCTGCTGTGCATGGTTCCCGGCGCTGTGTCATGTGTAATCATGTAATGTGTAAGACTTGGACGGCCCGTTGTGCCCACCCCAATCACCATGCGCCTCTGTGGTGTTGTTTTTTCTTCCACCGACACGCCTCCTCTGGGCGTGTCGGGTTCAAAGGGCGCACGCTGCTGTCTGTATATAAGGCCATGTTCCCATCGGTCGGCACTCTCAGTCGCCACCATGAAGCTGCTGCTGATCGCCTGCGTGTGCGCCCTGGCCGCGGCCGAGCAGCCGCAGCAGACCGTTCCGACGGCCGCTCAGCTGACGGTCGGCCTGACGCACCTGTACCGGCGCTTCCTGCACGCCGTCGCCCCCCGGCAGCTCGAGCTGCAGGATGCGCTCGACATCCAGTGGCGCAACGGCATGATGGCCGGCCCGCCGTTCCGCTCCCCGGTGAGTGAGCGGCCGACGTCGCCGGACAGGCGGCGGAAGCAGATGCAGTGAACCGAGCGGCATGTAGCTCATTCGAATTGACTTTTTGTGATATAGCATAACGTAAACGGGCTGCAATAGCACCCATACCTATTTTCAGTAAATTACAAACAATCCCTGACAGAGCTGCATTCATTATCGTCGTAGAGGTTCCTTAGCTTCCTTAGAAACAAAGCATGTAGAAATGGCTATCAGCCAAGGTCTAAGACATCTCATGACGGATACCTGACACATGTTTCCCATGACTTTGTTGGCGTACTTTCTAACCCTTTACGATCCGTTGTGCGACAGGTCCAGGCAACCTTCGGCGGTGTTGAGGCGCCGACCTTCTCCTTCGTGAACAGCATGATCACTCCCGGCCAGAAGGGCTTCTTCGGCAAGTGGAGCAAGCACGACACCTCGGATCTGCTCATGACCTACAACCGCGGCAGCCTGACCAAGGTGAGAAGCGTGGTCAGTGTCTCCTGGGCGCCATGGATACAACGAAACCCACTTACTGTCTTTTATACAAAGGATATGCAGATGTCCCCCGATAATATCCTATCTAAATCGTGATGGAAAGGACGTCTGAGCCTCCGTTGATGGGTCTTGTAAATTTCAATACCACTAAACAGTGAGACCGCCTACTAATCCACAGATGTTGGCCACATTTGTGTGTGACACCGTTTCTGTGTGTGGTTTCAGATCCACATGCTGACCGACGGCGGCATCCACAAGGAGGTGGTGCTTGGCAACCCTCTGCACAAGCACGGCGCCAAGTTTGCCGTCATGATCCCCAAGGGCACCTACTGCATCTTCGAGTCGCTCTCTGAGGACGACGCCGCCTTCGTCACCTACGTCGCTATCCCCGGTAGGCAGAATGCATCGACACAATCCCACCTGAGGCTCTTTGAGCTTCTGTGGTACTGAACAAACCGTTTTCGAGATCACATTTTCACAGTTGATGTGCAACCGGTCCCTATTTTGTGCACCGTAATGCTCGAGTTGATTCACTGTGCGTAGACCTACCGGACTCTGTGTGGGTGGCTATTACATTTTGTAATCGTTTCGTGGTCATTTTGCGAAGCTGATTTGTCTAAGCGATTTGGCTGTCGTGGTGGTTGGGTCTGGTGATGCTCTTTTGCCCAAGTTCTGACCCATTCGCCCTCTCCCTTGGACAGCCTGGAACCCGGCCAACTCGCACAACTACTCCCAGAAGGAGATGGAGGCCAAGTTCCCCGACTTCAGCAACATGTTCCACGAGCTCTCCAAGCCCGGCGTGCACGAGCACGAGCACGGCGACGAGGATTACGATCACGAGCACGACGAGCACGACCACGACGACCACGACGAGCACGACCACGGCCCCCAGCGCCGCCGCCTCCGCCGCTTCCGCGGCCGTGGCCGCCGCTTCGGCGGACGCCACTAAATCCCTGCTGACGAGACTCTGAGGCAGCACGGTCATCGACCGACGCAGGGCACTGGCGGACGGAACGAAGCCATGCTCAAAGCAAGTCACTTTGAAGTTGTTTTACAATATGACGCGATGTACATCCCATCATCGTTCCTTGTGCAATACAATAATAATTGTTTGACCACGAACTGTGTTTGGCCTGCCTTTGTTTTCAACGACGCAAAGCTTAGAAAATTACTTTTGATTATTCTGCTTACCTCGAACTTTCAACCGATAGCATAGGTACTATTTAGTAGGTAAGAAAAAAAAAACACGAAGAAACTACATATCAGTACATATCAGAGAAACTGTTGCATATCAGTCGATCCGTATCGTCGAGCTGAATACATCTGATGTGTGCACGTCGTTATTAAAAGTTATAGCCAAAAAAAACTGCTGGTGACCGTTATGACCTGAGATGACCTCAGGGGCACGCAAATGGGTCACAGGTGCATTTGTCCGATTCAGTGTGTCATTGTTCACCTATGAACCGATGTTTGAGAGGGTTTTGAACACCATTCGTCCAAAATAGGCGCATTTCAATTTTCTCCCTTTGACTTATAATGGAGAGGTTGCAAAATTGACCAGACCTTAGGTCACCGATATCAAAATTCCGAGATACACATTTTGTACATACTTTTACTCTTATCATCGCTGAAAGTTTTAAGGCGATCGTTCAGTCGGTGTAGCTATGACGAGGATTGCAACTTTTTCTGAGGTGAGGTCACTTGACGTGACCCTGTGACCTGACCTTGAGAGCCCTGGGTCTGAAATTCTTACAACGCATGTAGAAAAGATGCGTGAAGAGGTGTGCCAAAAAGGCCGCGCTCCGCGCCGCCGTTTTTGAGATATCTGCGAAAAACCGCAGGGGGGGGGGGGTGTTCAAACACCCCCCGGCCCGGCACGGGTTACAGCACGGCTCCAGACTAAATCAGACGGGTGCGATGTGAGCCAGATGCGCGTGCTATGTCGGGGCCGCCACGGGGGCTGGTCGGACCGGCTGCACAGGGGCGCTCATGGGGTGTCTTCGAGAGGTATCTGTCGTCGTAGACTGGCGGTGGTTTACCGGAATGGTTAGGGAGGGACTGGGCAGTCACCTGGGCAGGAGGCGCATGTCCGCATAATCTAGAGTGAGCTGTTATTACGATCAAAGTCTGGTGCAAAGAAGTTCAGTGTTGAGACAATGTAGAATGCTGCAGAACCCGTAATCGGATCGATGTCACTCAACAATATCCTCTGCAGCGTGGAATTGGATTGCAAAAAGGTCTTCCAGGGCTGGCGGCGGATGTTTTGAAAAATGGACCTTTTGAGAATGTGCATACTCAGATTGTTAGTGCTGAAGAACTATGCTGTTACAGCGTAAACAGGACTTGTGCTGACTCGCGTGGTGAGCGGTAGTGATGCTTTTTTCTTGTCAGGGAGATTGCGAGCTCTGCACTTTGCTCATCAGTTAGGTTTCACTGTTCAAGCAGTACCTTAGCGTTCTAACTTGGTGGGCTGTAACGATGACCAGGTCACGACAGGGCAGTATTAAGTGGTCCAAACATTAATACTCAGTACTCACTTGTGCTTCGTAGGCTGAATCATCTTTTCAAGGTATGACTGTTGTGTTGAGTGAAGTGGGAATGCGCACACAGTTATGTATCGCTCCGTAATGTAGAATGCGGCAGGATGTAACGTTTCCCAATCGTTACTCTTACACACGCAGGTATTGCTTTGGATAGTATTCTGTATGCTGGTTTTGTATTTAATGAATACATATATCTATTTGTAATATGTCGACTCTGCGATGCTGTAGTTTCTTTGTAAATATCACCCCGTGTTAGGCATGAGAACACATCCGCCACAGAGAACGCTGAAAAGCTTTTTTCATCACCGTTAACCCTATTCCTGGCGGGCTCCGCCGGGACAAGAAACTGGCGGGGGGGGGGGGCCGATTCGGCCCCCCCCCTGAGATCTCGAGAACGAAGCAAGATAGCGACAAGCGGTAAACGGCATCGGATACGCATGGACAAGGTCTACAATTTTTACTAAGGTCATTTTCAGGTCAGGTCAAAGATGACGTCACAGGGGTCGAAAAAGTCAAAATGGCGGCGCTAGATATGGAGAGAGTTTTTCTCGAATAACTTTCGAATTAGTCAAGATAGGAACAAACTAAGGGCTTCATCGTGATCCTCTCGTCAATCCGCATCGAACAATATATATGTTGACCTCGAAAGGTCAAGGTCAAAGGTTGACCTCAGGTCACGTGACCTCGAGGTCATCATGTATATCATTCGATGCGTCTTGACGAGCTGAACACAATGAGACCATCCACGCGTCTGTATCTTGTTCCTGTACGGAGTTATTGGCCAAAAACCTTTGGTGACCTTTGATGACGTCACATGACCTCACAGCTGCCCAACAGCAAAACAGACCTCAAGGTAGTGAAGGTTGGTCGTATATGAAGTCATGTATGGTATATGGGGCCATTCCGACCCGTTTTAGTGGTAAAAACAGGGAGTTGATTTTTCCCCCATTGACTTATAATGGGGAGGTCGCGAAACTGACCTGACCTTAGGTCACCGATATCAAAATTCCGAGATATACAAATTCCACATACTGGTACCCTAACTAAAGCCTGAAGAGAAGAAATTGATCGGTCAAAAACTCTAGCTCTGGCGTGATTGCAAACTTTTCTGAGGTAGGGTCACCAAACCGCCTCTGGTGACCTGACCTGAGGTCAGATCAACTCAAAATTTTCAGACATGTTGCGTAGAAGCCTTTTAGGAAAAGTCAGAAAATTTGAGCTTCCTAGCTCAACGCGTTTGGGAGAAATAACCAAAAAAACTCAGGGGGGCTCCTGAGGCCCCCCCCCCCGCCAGGAATAGGGTTAAGGTGTCTGCGGTCTCTACATTCAAGCCACATTCACGCTAGGCTATCCCTATCTGCTGGTGGGATGGAGAGAGGCAGTTTCCGATGAAATTGATGTATTAATGGGTTAAGTGCTTTTGCGATGAACATAGCAAGTAGGGGAGAGCGGGGCCAGTTGAACCACTTTTTATATATTGACATGCACAGCGAGATCTAGTTGTCATATCGAAAAATGCACAATGCCATGAAAAAATATGCTCTTTCGGCTTCATTTTAAGATATGTAAAATTATGTTTCAAACATATTTTGGTGCCAAACGCATGCTTATAAAACAGCACTACGCCCGTTTCAAATGACCCCGATGCGAGGGTCAATTGAACCAGCCCATGGGGTCAATTGCACCTATCCTTAACAATGGGATGTTTTCCTCTTTAAGGCCACTTTCTTAAGGAGATATTTTGTCCGGTTTACTTTTCCAAATGCTACATTCAATAGGTCGTTGGAAAGCTAAAAGTGCAAAGTTCCTCATAATAGGTGACATAAAGTACATAGACTATGGTAAAATGGGCGGATGAGGATAATGAGAAATATCTCAGGCTATAGTGTGCTTTCAAGCAAAAGGCTGGAGAAAAAAGAGGTCAAAAAATGAGCTCTATTAATCTACTATTTCAGTTTAAAAGCTCATTTCAAAGGTGGACTATTTCCTTTAATGTTTACAGCCCCTGAACAATAACCATTGCAAAGGTCACCGGGGTCCATTGAAACGGCCTGTGGCCCTGTTTCAACTGACCCTCAGAGAAGCGTTTCAATTGACCCCATCCGCTCCCGCCATCTCGCACGCGCCGTAAAGCATATGTCAAACGAGCTGGAGGGACGACATCATGCTGAATGAAGGGCCAAATAAGGTGTTATTCCGGAGCCAGGAGTTCTTCTTTCAGCAAACAAAGGTATATGAGATATCACAAAATATTCATAAAAACGATTTCTCCCAAACGCCCCTCAAAAACACAAAAACAAGTGTCAAATCAAAATTACCGTCCGTTTGCCGCCCAAACGCCGTTGACAAATGAAGTGGTCGAGCGCGGATGCGCAGTGGTGTCGGCAACGCCATATGTTGCATACTGTTGAAAATAAAGCCATGTTTCATTTGACCCCGTGTTTCAACTGGCCCCGCTCTCCCCTATGTGGAGAATCTTTTATTGAACATATAAGATTAAAGCCAATCAGTTTCCGCTGTAAACACTATATAGCCTCTACCGAAGATGGAAATTAGCTGTCCTTATATGAAAATATTTTTAGAGGAGCATAAATACAGGGTGGGGCAGAAATATTTACCTGTTTGTTTTCAGTTCATAACTCAAAAAGTTATGAACGGATTTTGATAAAATTTTGGATGCGGCTTCCCAACTGACTCGTGTATCAACATTGAGATCGTTTTTACCTTTTGTTATAGTTGTAACAGCTCGGTGATGCCGTAAAAACTGTTTACAGTGTAATTAAAATATGAAAAGTATATTTCCTTTAACCCGCACCTCGTTCGGGTCTGCCGAGCAACGCAAAGTTGGAAGGGGGGGGAATTTAAATTGCCCCCCTTAGGGGGCCAATTGGCCCCTAAGATCTCGAGAACCATGCAACATAGCGACAAAAAGCAAACGGCGTTGGATAGCCCCAATAGGGAACTACCTTGTGACCTAACTTCATTGACCTAGGTCAAACCGTTGACGTCACAGGTCAGGTCAAATGTCGAATTTTCACCGTTTGCAGGCATTTCAAGAAATGCGTTGTAAAATCGAGTAAAATGCATTTCATTGAAAATCATCGATGGGGTATTGTTCGTCCAACACATATTTTGCTATTTGAGGTCACTGATACCAGGTCAGGTCACACAGGCCAGGTCCCTGAGGGTCACAATATGAGAATATCATGTGACGCATGTTTCATGGTCCATTTTATATTCCAAATGCCAAATTATGTGGGTCAGACAACCTTTAGGGTCAGTTTAGATTATGTTCTGGTGAAGGTCAGCTCAAGGTCAGGTCAAATTAGGTCAAATTTCCAAGTTGATATTTTGCATAAAATGGGTATTGATTCGATGCAGCTCGTCACGGGGAGTTCAATGGTGGTCTTTGTTTTGCGCTACGTACTCTGGAATTACCAAACATTGAGTCCAAAAATTTGACGTCATCAATTTTGAAGTTTTTTTTTCGCTATAACTTGGCCCAAAAAAGAGGTATCGATGTAAAAATTGGTATGTAGATAGAAGAGCGCAGGGACTATCACATATGTTCCGGTTTTTTGAAATTCAAAAAACTTCTGATTTGATTTGTTATCGTTTTTTTCTAAACAAAAAGATAATTTTGGGGGTCAAATTAGAAACATTTTGAAAATCCGAGATTGTAGTTTTGTACCGCCCTCTTTTCTGTACTTGACCATATAAAGAACTTTGAAATAGCTTAGAAACTGTAGCATTTGTGAGCGTTTCAAGATTTCTTTTTTTTACTAATTTTTGCTCAAAGATGACCCCAGTTTGACCTCAATAACTCCTGACCTAAGGTGACCTAAGATTTGAAGTTCTGTGTAAAGGTGTCAAATTGACGCCTGGAAAAGGTATAAAAAAAATTTGGCTGTGTTGCGCGCCGTCGTTTTCTTGCAATTCAGAAAAAAACCACAGGGGGGTCATATTGCCCCCACCCCCCCAACTGGGCGAGGGTTACCCATTCAGAAGCTCAACACAGTCTCATTTCGCTTATGCAGCAGCCTGCAGCGCTGGCAAGGACCGGATGTTCAGCAAAGGCTGACTACAGATTGATCCATCTCTCTGACTTGGCGTCTGCTGTGTATGGCTTTTGGCTCCCGGCGCTGTGTCATGTGTAAGGCTTGAACGGACCGTTGTGCCCACCCCAATCACCACGCGCCTCTGTGGTGTTGTTTTTTCTTCCACCGACACGCCTCCTCTGGGCGTGCCGGGTTCAAAGGGCGCACGCTACGGTCTGTATATAAGGCCATGTTCCCACCGGTCGGCACTCTCAGTCGCCACCATGAAGCTGCTGCTGATCGCCTGCGTGTGCGCCCTGGCCGCGGCCGAGCAGCCGCAGCAGACCGTCCCGACGGCCGCTCAGCTAACGGTCGGCCTGACGCACCTGTACCGCCGCTTCCTGCACGCCGTGGCCCCCCGGCAGCTGGAGCTGCAGGATGCGCTCGACATCCAGTGGCGTAACGGCATGATGGCCGGCCCGCCGTTCCGCTCCCCGGTGAGTCAGCGGCCGACGTCGCCGGATAGGCGGCGGAAGCACTTGCAGTGAACCGAGCCGCATCTAGCTCATTTGAATTGATTATCTTTTATAGTATAGCATAACGATAATGGACTGCAATAGCACCTATTTTTACAGTAAATTTAATAACAATCTTTGATAGCAGTCCATTCATTGTTGTAGTCTTGGACAAACCTCCTTAGAAACAAAACATGTAGAAATGGCTATCAGCCAAGGTCTAAGACTTCTCATGACGGAAACCTGACACATGTTTCCCATGACTTTGTTGGCGTGCTTTTTAACCCTTTACCGTCTATTGTGCGACAGGTCCAGGCAACCTTCGGCGGTGTTGAGGCGCCGACCTTCTCCTTCGTGAACAGCATGATCACCCCCGGCCAGAAGGGCTTCTTCGGCAAGTGGAGCAAGCACGACACCTCGGATCTGCTCATGACCTACAACCGCGGCAGCCTGACCAAGGTGAGAAGCGTGGTCAGTGTCTCCTGGGCGCCATGGATACAACGAAACCCACTTGCTGTTTTTTATACGAAGGATATACAGATGTCCCCCGATAATATCCTATCTAAATCGTGATGGAAATGATGTCTGAGCCTCCGTTGATGGGTCTTTTAAATGTCAATACCACTTAACAGTGAGACCGCCTACTAGTCCACA